CATAGAGAACATGGGAGTGAGGTGAGACCCATAGAATGGGTGTGGGGTGAGCCCCATAGAGAACGTGGGAGTGAGACCCATAGAACGGGTGTGGGGTGTGGGGCTGGACCCATAGAGAACGTGGGAGTGAGGTGGGACCCATAGAACGGGTGTGGGGTGTGAGACCCATAGCGAGCACTTGTGGGGCAGGACCCATAGAGAACATGGGGGTGGAGTGAGCCCCATAGAGAACATGGGAGTGAGACCCATAGAACGGGTGTGGGGTGTGAGACCCATAGCAATGTGGGGTGGGACCCATAGAACGAGTGTGGGGTGTGGGGTGAGACCCATAGAGAACGTGGGAGTGAGGTGAGACCCATAGAACGGGTGTGGGGTGTGAGCCCCATAGAGAACTTGGGGGTGAGACCTATAGAACGGGTGTGGGGTGTGGGGCGAGACCCATAGTGAGCACTTGTGGGGCAGGACCCATAGAGAACGTGGGAGTGGAGTGAGACCCATGGAACGGGTGTGGAGTGTGAGACCCATAGCAAACATGGGAGTGGAGTGAGACCCATAGAGAGCACTTGTGGGGCAGGACCCATAGCAAACGTGGGGGTGAGGTGAGACCCATAGAACGGGTGTGGGGTCAGCCCCATAGTGAGCACTTGTGGGGCGGGACCCATAGAACGGGTGTGGGTTGTGAGACCCATAGCGAACATGGGGATAGGCTGAGCCCCACAGCACTGCCTGCCCCATAGCACCCAGACATGGGGGTGTGGGGCAGGCTGAGACCCATAGAATGGGTGTGCGGTGAGACCCATAGAACACATGGGGGAAGACTGAGCCCCATAGCGAGCCCACGGGGGTGTGGGGCAGGCACTGAGCCCCACGGCGCTGCCCGCCCCATAGCGAGCACACACAGGGGGCGATGTGGGGCAGCGCTGAGCCCCATAGCAAACACATGGGGGGAGACCGAGCCCCATGGCACCGCCTGCCCCATAGCGAACACACACTTGTGGGGCACAGCGCGGTGCCTGCACTCAGCCCCATAGCGAACACACAGGCTGAGATGTGGGGCACAGGGCGCCCACACAGGGCAGCTGTGGCACCGCCTGCCCCATAGCGAACACACACTTGTGGGGCACAGCGCGGTGCCCACACCAAGCTCAGTTCACACACACAGGGCACACACACAGGGCAGATGCGGCTCTCCCTGCCCCATAGCGCAGAGTTATGGGGCAAAACCGCCCCCAAAGCTGACCCCACACCCCCAGGTCCATTCCAGGGCCCCAACGCACTTGTGGGGCAAAGAGCGGTGCCCACACCAAGCT